CTTTTCTAATTCACAGCTGGATCTGAAATGCCTTGGGAATTCAGTGACCTTGGTTTTGCTTACTGTAATGTTTGTATTTGAAGAGCTGGCTCCTTCCTCAGCCCTCTCTGAAGGCTGTAACTTCCTCACCCTCTAGGCCCTGTGAGGAGGAAAAATCGGAGACCTTTTTCTTTTATTTTCTTTATAGGCACCAGTACTGTTTTATAGCATACTGTTAAAAGTGGTTTATTCTGCCAAGTACAACTCAGCCCTTCCAGACACCAAGCTTACATTTGTTTAATTGGTTACTCCTCCATAAGACAGAGACGGGGGGGGGGGGGGATGTATGCATGTATGTGGACCATTGCCCGAAACTCTTTTTTAAAATATATATAACATACATAATGACTCTTTCCAAAACTTGCTAACAGTTAGATTCGCCTCGTATTTTGAGGACAATGTAAAAGCTGACCCTTCGCTGCAGAAGACAGATTAGAAAGTTTTTCTCACTTGCTCTGATCTGGTAACACGTTTTTTTGGATTCAGCTGCTTGAATATTCTTGGTGGTGCTTTCCTGACATTGACCCTTTTTTATTGTTTCAGCTTCTGTGCATTTAAACAATAGTTTGGTGAGGCCGGTTGATAGGTTTGACATGCACAGGAGGTTTAAAAAAGCAAGTCTGTGGCTTTGTACCGTATTTTGCCTCTTTTCTCTTGAGCCTGGAGGACCTCCCCTCTATGGTCAGAGCTTAGCGCCTTTGGGGCTTTGGGTGAGAACGCAGTAAAAGGGGGACGTGGTTGTATAGGAAATGGTGGGTGATGTAAAGGAAACAAAAAGAGAGATTCTCCTCCTCTTTCCTAACGCTAGAACCAGGGGTAGTCTAAAGAAATACCTTATTCACTCAGGACATCGTTGAGCTGTGGAATTTGTGAAGACAAGACATTGTGATGGCCATCAGGTTAGACAGAAACCAGAGTTATAGATGGGGATGGTATCAACTGATCGTTCTAGGTAAAATAAATGGGGGGAAAATGCAGGAAGGAACTGAGATAGTGGTTTGGATGCAACACTGTCGGCTGATTTTCAGACCGCAAAGGCTCTTCCCTATATTCCAAGACTCCCAAAGGCTTCCCCGAGTCAAAAGGAATTTCCAAGGAGCGGCAGAGTGGGGATTAGGGAGCTTTAAATTAAATTTCATTCGGGTGAAATGTTGCAGCCTCACCGTGTCCTCACCACTGACAGCTGTGGAATAGCTCCTCATGGCTTCGGCCAGCGTCATTGTTTCAAACTGTTGTATCTAAAGTCCGAGGACATCCAGTCTCAAGAAGGAGAAAGTGGAGATGAGGAGGGAGGATGAGATGGATTCATAGACAAGAGGGGAGACCCAATCTGGTGTACTTTTTGGCTGGGACCTGAGAGATCCACACTTAGGAGGTTGAAGCATCTGCCATTTTTGGACAGCAGAGAGCAATAGATTTTTCTACTATCAAGCTCAAGGAACTCAATAATTATCACTTTTCCCATTGGAAAGACAAGCAGGGAAGACAGCTGATCTCTCTCCTCATCCCCACCTCCTTTGACCTGTCTTTGCTGGTTGCCATATGCCACGTTCATCTATGCCACAAATCCTTTTCTGGGTTGTGATGCTTCTTATATATTTTAGTCTCGAAGCAACTTTCTAAAGCCTTTGGGGAGAACATCGCATTGGAGAGAGAGTCATTTTGACCAGTGGTTCCTAACCTTGGGTCCCCAGACTTTCTTGGACTGCAATTCCCAGAAGCCATTGCCAACACAGCTTAGTCCAGAAGACTTCTGGGAGTTGCAGTCCAAGCTCACTTTCTTTTAAGAGTATCATCCATTATTGCATCTTTTGTATACTACTTTCCGGAGTGATAGCTCTTGTCCATAGTGTTTTGGGTGCTGAAATGACTGTTTTGCAGAGTCTCTGCCTCTGCCAATATTAGCATGCCGACATTAGTTGTCATTCTGAGTTTGTCTTCTTTTCCCTGTTGAGGTACCACATAGAGAATGAGGTAGAACTTGGGAAAGTGGACTCTAGTTCCCAGCTCCCAGAATCTTCCTGCCAACATGAAAAGCTGGAAGCAGCCATTTGCTGAAGTAACTTTTCCAAGATACCCTCCTTTCTCTTGTATTCTAATTCTCCAAATTCACTCATATTGTACACAGGTAGAGGGAGGGGAAAGCTGTGGAAGTCACCGCTTCATTTTTGCACATGTCCTGGTTAGCCGTTGACATTTGCCATTCATGAGACAGAACTTGCAAGTGGTTCGTTCCTAACTTAGCAATTCTGCATTTCATAACGTCAGAGCTATTTGTCTCCACCAATGGCTTGTTGGAATGAAGTTGTGTAATCAAGAAGTGTGCTGTATTCTCTTAATTTCCTGTTGGGGCTGTTTGTAGCTTTTATTGACTGTTTGTTAGAAGCCATGCTCCGGGTCTGAGTGGAGTTGGCAGTATGCTTTCTTTCTTTCTTTCTTTCTTTCTTTCTTTCTTTCTTTCTTTCTTTCTTTCTTTCTTTCTTTCTTTCTTTCTTTCTTTCTTTCTTTCTTTCTTTCTTTCTTTCTTTCTCTCTCTGTCTCTCTCTCTCGCTCGCTTGCTTGTGGTTCAAAACATACAATAAAATCATACAGTAGAAATCACTGTGTACATTAAAAATAGAATAGAATACAACAAACCCTGTTGCTAGATAAAACAATGAGCTTACCTTTAAATAAAAAGATACAAATTAAACCCATTTCTTCCTTCCTTCCTTCCTTCCTTCCTTCGAAAGGTTCTGTGCCCATCTCACATCAAGGAGTGGGCCAAATAGTAGAGCATCCAAGGGAGATTTTAATTACCTTTTCATACTCTGACCTACCAGAAATTCATGAGGCTCCACCAAGTCCAGTCAAAATATGCCCGGGTTCCACCCACTGATAAGATCCCTTGAAAATCACACCCTGGCAACAGTTACCTGCCAGACAGAGACCTGATATTTTATTTAATGCCCTGTGCATCGCAGCTTCCTGTCTGCCAGGGATCCCTGGCTGTGGCTAAGCAGGTAGTATTTAAATGCATTCAGCTATCAATATTTATGCCTGCTAGGTTTAATGTGAGCCCTGATTTTTATCTCCTTCCATCAATATTTTAGGATGCAGAGATACCAGCACTTTCCCATGGCCGTTTCCTGATACGAGCAGAAAACATTTGATACACCCCTTGAATAGAACACAGAGTGCATCTCTTTCTGTTGCTTTTGGTATTTGAGAACCGCTCAGCCAAAGTCTCCTTATCTTCTTCCCATCCTCTGTGGCATCCATGTCCTCTATCAGGCTCTTCAGAGCAATTTTTAAAAAATCCTTTGAAATGCTTCATCGCTGCCCTTCCGTCACTTTGAAGGCACCATACTCCCAATTAAAAACGGACCTTCTTCCAAGACTTTGTTGTTATTTCTTGTGATTCTAAGCTAGTTTATTCGTTATTTTATGCTGATAGGATGTGATTTCTTTAATGAATGCACTTATTTTGATTTTTTTTAAAGAAGACTTAAAATCAGAGCCAAAGCTCAGTCTTGGTCCTTCAAAAGGAGTCACTTCCAGGGGCCATTAGAGTGAGACCATAGGAGATTGTCAGATGCTGATACTCGTAGCAACTATAAGCCCCCTTTTACCCATCGTTGGGTTTTATGTTGACTCAATGATTCTTTGCTACATCTATTCCTTAAACATCACCGTTTTCATTTAGAGAGCCAGCGTGTTGGCGAGAGATGGGCCTGAACTAAGAAGTCCTGTATTCAAATCCCTCCTTAGTTCATGGGGATGTGCGGGTTGACACTGGTAATATCACCCCTTAAATACCTTGAAGGCCCTAGTAGGGTTGCCATAACTCATATGCAACTTGACAGCACATAATGACTTCTCCAGTAAGACTTTTTTCATCCTAAACTGGCTTCGGGTTTCCCAGACAATCCTTGCATCTAATTGGATGACTTCTGTTTAAGACATGCCTCAAAATTATGACAGTATCCTCGGAACGCATGTTGTGTTTTCTGCTTCTTTTAAAACAAGAGGTTGAGGGAAAGAGAGAGGGAGAAAAATGTCTTCTATGGTTGCTTGAGAAGACTATATGGAGGCTGTTCCTTGAACAGACCAGTCTTGGTTAGCTGTTTTCCCTCAAACTACAGTCCATCATCCATGTTGTATTTTTGAACGAGGCTGTTCCTTGAACAGACCAGTCTTGGTTAGCTGTTCGTTTTTCCCTCCCAAACTGCAGTCCATCATCCATGTTGTATTTTTGAACCTGCAAACTTGTCTTTATCTATTGCCATTATTATTGTATTTTGTATCCTAATTTTTAAAATATAGTTACTATTTTCCTCTTTGGGTATTAGTTATTTTATTTTAGAGATTATGTTTTTGTATGCTGTTTCACTTGAATTTATTGTTGCTTTATTATATGTTAATACTATGTCATATTGGGGGGGATAAAAATATAAATACCTGTATTTTTCCATGTATAAGACTTTTCTAATTTGTTGAACACCCAGAGGGGTGGCCTTGTCACCGGGGGGGGGGAATAAAAATATAAATACCCGTATTTTTCCGTGTATAAGATGCCCCCATGTATAAGACGCCCCCACTTTTCTAATCCAAAATTAAGAAATCTTAAGTGGGGATTAGCAAGTGTAGGGGGAAAGGGATCAAAGTGCTGCAGGATCGCTTTGATCCCTGCTTTCCCCTCCACTCATTTTTGTTGTCTCCTCAGCTTACTTCCATGTTTAAGACTACCCTCAATTTTTAGTCTAAAGATTTTAGACAAAAGTATAGTCTTATACATGGAAAAATAGGTAAATGAATAAACAATCCCTTTAATTCCTTCAAAGTAACTTCTCATATTGGTAAAACCCATACCAAAAAGCTGTGACAAGCTTCTTTCCTCAAGACATGGAAACAATAGCTAGGGATATGATGGCTATCCTCATATAATAACATTTCCTCTGTCTCCTCCTTCTTTTACTTAGATGCAGCAACTGTTTTATGAAAACTATGAACAAAACAAAAAAGGTTACATCAGAGATCTCCGTAACAGCAAGATTCACCGAGCAATAACTTTACACCCTAACAAGAGCCCACCCTACCAATACAGACTCCACAGCTACATGCTGAGTCGCAAAATCGCAGAGCTGCGTTACCGCACCATACAACTGCACCGAGAAATCGTCCTCATGAGCAAGTACAGCAATACGGAAGTCCAGCGGGATGACCTTCAGCTAGGAATCGCCCCTTCCTTCATGCGGTTCCAGCCGCATCAGCGGGAGGAAGTTTTGGAGTGGGAATTCCTCACGGGGAAATACCTGTATTCCGCTGCGGATGGGCAGCCCCCTCGTCGGGGCATGGACTCCTCTCAGCGCGAAGCGTTGGATGACATCGTGATGCAAGTGATGGAAATGATCAACGCCAACGCCAAGACGAGAGGGCGGATCATTGACTTCAAGGAGATACAGTACGGTTATCGCAGGCTCAACCCCATGTATGGGGCAGAATACGTCCTTGACTTACTGCTCTTGTACAAGAAGCACAAAGGGAAGAAAATGACTGTTCCAGTGAGGAGGCATGCATATTTGCAACAGACCTTCAGCAAAGTCCAGTTCATGGAGCAAGAAGAAATGGACGCCAAAGAGCTGGCCAATAAGATCAACCAGGACTCTGGGTCCTTGTCTTTCCTTTCCAATTCCTTGAAGATGTTCGTTCCATTCCAGTTGAGTAAGTCGAAAGCAGAGAAGAAGGAACCAAAAGACAAGAAGATTAACATCTTGATCCCTCTCTGTGGCCGCTTCGATATGTTTGCACGCTTCATGGTGAACTTTGAAAAGACTTGCCTCATTCCCAACCAGAATGTCAAACTGGTCGTCTTGCTTTTCAATTCGGACTCCAATCCCGACAAGGCCAGGCAGGTTGAACTGATGAGAGACTATCGTTTAAAGTACCCCAAAGCGGACATGCAGATCCTCCCAGTATCCGGCGAATTTTCCCGAGCGCTGGCCCTCGAAGTCGGATCCTCTCAGTTCAACAACGAGTCCCTGCTTTTCTTCTGCGATGTCGACTTGGTCTTTACGGCAGAGTTTCTCCAACGATGTAGAGCCAACACGATTTTAGGACAACAGATTTATTTTCCAATCATCTTTAGCCAGTATGACCCAAAGATTGTCTACAGTGGCAGAGTTCCGAGCGATAATCATTTTGCCTTCACCCAGAAAACGGGCTTCTGGAGGAACTATGGTTTCGGGATTGCCTGCATTTATAAAGGCGATCTTGTTCAAGCAGGCGGTTTTGACGTTTCGATCCAAGGATGGGGTCTGGAGGATGTGGACTTGTTCAACAAAGTGGTCCAGGCCGGCTTAAAGACTTTCCGAAGCCAAGAGGTTGGAGTAGTCCATATACACCATCCTGTCTTTTGTGACCCTAATCTGGATCCTAAACAGTATAAGATGTGTTTAGGATCGAAAGCCTCCACTTATGGATCTACGCAGCAGTTGGCAGAGTTGTGGCTTCAAAAGAATGAACCGAGTTTTGGAAAGAACAGCATTGCAAACGGTTCCCTGAGGACGGCCTGATATCCAGCTATTGCTGGGGGGGGGGTGTGAATTAACAAACAAACAAACAAAAAAACTACCTATTGCATTTTTTTACTGCCCTAATTTATTTTATTTTATTTTGGGGTTTTTTGGAACACGTTTTGATAGTCAATTTTTAAAAAACAAAACAAAACAAAAAAAAGACCGCACAAGGGTATATTTTAGAAACCACCATTTTTCTTACAAGGAGCTCTTGAGATTTTTTTTTCCTGAACAAAACTGTGATCGACTTTTGCCTTTTGAACAAACATCAGTGGCTGAGTATTACAAACTGCCTGGATCTGACAACTTGAAATAAAATACCTCTTCCCACCCTTAATAAACTTTTTTAAAGAAAAAGTTAAAAACAAAAATGCCCATAGTATACAACCTACCAATAGCTCAATGAATTGTTTGAGGTTTTCCATTAGCAAATGAATGCACAAAGAAATTCATCTAGTATTCTCCTACCTTTTTGAAACCATAACAGAGTAAATGAATTATTCCTTGATTTAAAATAAAAAGTATTAGAGGGGGGAAATGGCAGTATTGCTAATTCACTTACAATTGTTCATTGGGTTGAAATTTCAACCTTAAAATGTAAGTTTTTGCTCATTATATTTTTGAGCGACCAGAAAAAGAAGGGAGATTAAGCACAATCTTGATAAGGTATACCTTTGTTTAAAAAGAGGTTTTTCTTTTTTGTTCCATATGTGGATCTGATGATTTAAAAAAAGCAGGTTCTAAGTCCTTCTGAATCTAATCTCTTGTGTAGATGCCTTGACGAACAATGCTTTAGTTTATAGATGGGGGAGAAATGACATGTCTTTGCTGTGAGAAGCAACAACTGAAATCTGAAGACACTCCAAATTCAGTGTATTGGGAAAATTCTTATTTTCCTCCAAACCAGTTACAGTATTTCAATTGGGAACAATATACTATGTTTGTTTTGCTTAATTAGTTGTTTTTTTCTTTCTGTATTGGATAGGCCTTTAATTTAAAATTTTCTTTGTTTTAGGTTTCTGTCTTTTCTTTTTTAAATTTTGAATAATTGTTAGTCATTAATATTTATGTATCTTAGGAATGTAATGCATTTTTCTTACTGTTAAAGATAGCTTACGACTTACTTTGCAGTAAACGGAACTCCAAAGATTCCCTCTAAATTGCTCTCTTTTGTTTCTCAAAATTACCTTTAAAACAGAATAATTGAAACCTGGGATCTCATTTCTGAAGCGCAAAAAGGAACTTCATGTTTCAGGAACAGAAACTGTGGGAAACCAGTACCTTTGAGAACAGAGCACAAACATAAAAATATGTGCACATCATCCAGTGCCTTTGAATAAATGCAACATTTTCTAACCTTACAATGGCATTTAAACTTGGGTTCAAAATATAATCACATACTGCTGTCTGATCATGCTTCTTACTTTTCCTGTACTCTTTTTCAGTAGCCACTGCCCTGCTATGTATTGCAATTTAGGTCTGTCTCCCACTGGAAAAATCTGAGAAGCTTTAGTAAAGTAAAAGAAAATGGATTCTTTATTTCTGTGTGCCATGGATACTTGGTGAGCAGCTAGACCTCTTAAGATGTCCCTGAGCCATCTAAAAGAACAATAGTTTTATTTACTTAATGAGTAAAAAAATCAACTTTTAATACATTTCAGTGGCAGCTAACAATGCTGCTTAAAAGCATGCAGAATGCAGTGAAACAATAAAATGCCAATAAAAGCTATAGCACAACTGCTGAGAACTCTGGCAAAACAATTAAAAGCCTGAGCATTTTTTTAAAAAAATATTATTTGATGCTTGAAAGCCATCAGATTTGGTGAACTAAAAATGAGGAAGGTTCTGGAGATGAGGTATCATCATTCAAAGGCCGTGTCTCCATGACTGGGTGGACCTTATTTCAGAAGGATTCATTTTTGTTCCTTGACTTGACCCGTAGAATCACAGGTCACGATAAGATGGGAGACTTAATTGTTGCTTTGGCAGGCTGTTGTGCTCTGTACACAACAGAGCCTTTGTTTCTTCCTCTGGTAGAGCATTCAGACATGCAACCAACTCTTAACCCGATGCAGACCTGGAAAAGCTTTATTGCTTAATCTTTTGGAATTACATAACCTAGATGCGAGTCAGCATGTGGTCATAATTCAGAGAAGTGTGAACGTATATGTGTTGATGGGTAGCTGGGATTCAGAGATATAAAATTAGGAACAGTATTCACATTTTCTGCTAGACAACAGACTCCATTTCACTGAGATCTGACCTTCTGGATCCGAAACCCAAGAGATGCTCTTGATGGCTACCTGAGTAGACTAGAGGGTTCAGGAAGTAGAGACTCCCCCTCTCCCCCAGCGTTAAGTCATGCTTGAATTGAAACAGAGATATGTGATCACCTTGGTCTGGCAGTAGCATCTCGAAAGGAGAAGTGATGAGTCAGACCTTAAGCAGAAAGAAAGATCAGGGGAAAGGTTCATGTTCATGTAATCAATGACACAAGCCAAGAGAACAAGGAAGTGGTTCAAGGATGATTCTCACCATTTTCCAGCGTTAATTGAGAGGAGAGTACTTTGGAACAAGGGTAAGATATTCCAGTCGGCTGTCACGAGAACAAAGGCCAAGATGATCCCTCGGGAACTCTTGAGCTTCTTATTTCATGGCGTTGACTTTCCAGTAAAGGGACTATATTTAAAGCCCTGTGCAAACAGCAACTTTCGAAAATCAACTGTGATATGATGAATGCTCTTTGTTCACCCTTGCTCGGATTTCTGTAAATGAAACGATGGGAAAGAACGTTTCACGGACTCTCCATTGCCAAGCAGCTGAGGATGATGATGTCATGGCTCCTCTCGGCTGCTTTAGCTCGCCAGGGGAGAATCTGACCACCCAGGCTCAAGAAATTGAATCCTCCTCCTATGTATTCATTCTCTCAACAGCTCTGCAAAGGAAGTAAAACATTCGGTGGTTTATCAATGAAGATGAGAGGGGTACACTCATGACTTGTAGGTAGCTCAGCCTTTATACCCATCTGTACTACGCTCTGAGCCGATCAAGTGCACCCCTCCCTTTAAGCATGAAAATGTGCAAGTTTCTGACAATGTAAGCAAAAAGGAATACAGTGGTGCCTCGCTTAATGACAATCCATTCCAGGAAAATTGCCGTTAAGCAAAAACATCGTAAAACAAAATTAAAAACTCCATTGAAATGCATTGAAACCCGTTCAATGCGTTCCGCTGGGGTAAAAACTCACCGTCCAGCAAAGATCCTCCATACGGCGGCCATTTTCACTGCCTGTATAGCGAGGAATCCGTCCCTAAACACAGCAGGGAGCCATTTTAAGCACCCAGTGGCCATTTTGAAAACCCGACAATCAGCTGTTTTTGATGGTCGTAAAGCAAAAATCGGTTCCCAAAGCAGGGAACTGATCATCGCTAAGCGAAATTCCCCCATTTAGACCATCATTTTGCGATCGCAATTGCGATCACAAAAAGATCATCGTAAAGCGAATTCATCGTAATGTGAGGCAATGTTAAGCAAGGCACCACTGTAAGTGTGTGTGTGTATTGTGGGATTAGGAAATTGAGGTCTATAGTCCTATCCATACAGATTATGAGTTTGGAACTTTGGAAGCCTTTGATAGGTAAATGAAATGAGTACTACAGTTACTGAATTTATTTTAAATCAAACTATGGATTGGTGTGCATGTGTATGTATACATACTTCAAATGCACAAATACTCAAAAGATGCATTTCAGTTCCAGGGTGCTGTAAAATACATATATGAGGATGGATTGTCTTAAACCATAGCGGCTTGATTTAAGTCAATTATTAAGGCAAATTATTAAGTCAATTCAGTCAAAGGGATTGAATTTTTTAGCTCATTTAAATCATTAGGAAAACAAGGCCCGTATGAATTTCTGCAACATTCCACTCAGCATTTCATTGGAAATCCAGAATTTGTATATCAGAATAAAAATGAGCATAGAGAAGAAATGATCAAATTTGTCCCTTTTTGTGGAAATCTCTCCTTCCTCTAATTGGTGTATTCATTAATTATAGTTTTAACTGAAGACTCATATGCTTAGAGTCACAGACTCGTAGAAAAGTGAAGTTGGAAGGGGGCCTACAAGGCCATCAAATCCAACCCCCTCCTCAACGCAGGGGTACAAATCAAAGCAGATTTTTCATGTTATTTCGATTCATGGAACTGTAGACTTGGAAAATCACAGGCTCCCTCTCATCCTGCTCATTCTATAAAAGCAACACTGATAATTTTTTTTAAATCCCTTCTGATATAAGCAAATAAAATAGGATTATGTTAAAGACCGACCTTTACACCGCAGCTACTCAGCAGCCGGAATTGTACAGTCTTTTTGAGTTCAGTGACATTTTTAAAGCCACATCCATTGGACGTTTGTTGACGTTTTTCTAGTTCTGCTTTCGAAATCAGTAAAATACTGAATATTTTTTTAAAGAATAACAGGAAGTAAAACCCAACGCTGTGAGCTGCTGTTGCAGAAAAGGCTGGTTCCAGTGTGTGTCGCAAAGGATCCGGTGTCACTGCATGCTTCCACACACTCACACACACACCATCCAGATGGAAATTCAAAATCCTCCTCTGTGCTGGCACATCTTCAGCTCTTAGTTCATCTGTGCAAGCCCTCTCCGACAGAGCTGGACTGTCTCATCAGACCCTCAGTTGTGCAAGCAAGAGAAACTGGACAGACAGAACTCCTGATGGGTTGGTCCTCACTGGCCCATAAAACATGCTCCATCTTTTCTTCCTGACCACACACAAAAAACACATTTACAATCTTTTTCCTGTCCATTTACATAAACAGTTCTGGAATCTGTTAAGTGCCAAAGTTTTGGCTGAGTATTGTATCTTGCAGCAGAAGACGAGGCAACGCTGCTGAGCACAGAAACAATGTGGTGTATCCAGGAGTTACACTTGGGTGGCCGCCCGGCTGCTGCTTCGTGTGCCAGGACAGATGAATTTAAATCTAGGAGCCTCAAAGAGGAAGTTGTTTCTGCGTCTCTGTAGGATGTACTGTTCTCTGGGCCCGCCACCCATCAATGTGCATCTTA